TTGTTGCCTATAAGGGTGTGGGCCTAAAGTGGCTAGATAGTCTGGTTTTTAAAAAGGAGCCAGAAAATCCACATTTCCTGGCTTTTAAATATAGCAACTCATTCAATTAAAAAAAAAAAAAAAAGAAAAAGAAGAAAAAAAGAAAAGAAAACCACACTGTGAGGGCCAAACAAGATTCATCTGTAGGCTGACTCCTGCCCCTGGAATGGCAGTTTGCAACCTTTCTATCCTAAAAGATCGTTCAGTCCAACGTCTCTTGAACTCTTGAGTCCTCTCTAGACTGCGGCAGAGTGGCCAGAGGGTCAGGGGGTCCCATCCAGCAGGTTGTTAAGTGAGTGTCTGGTGTGTGCATATGTGGGTAAGGGTGAGGCTTTTGGCTTCTCTCCCCTTCCAAGTGAAAATGCATTCCAGGCCGGAGGCAGGGTGTGGCCACCATAGCCACAACAGCCTACTCAAGATGACCCGGGCAGGGCTAAGATCTTCCATCCAGTGGGGACCACTTGGTTGAGCAGTCCACTCACTGTAAAAGGCTTCAGAATGAAAAGTAAAGGAAGAAAAGCTCTGGAGAAAGCCAGACAGCAAAAGAGTCTTAAAAGAAAATTGTTGGGGGAACCAGCAGTTAGCGTAATGGCTATGTCGCTGGACTCCCACGTAGTCGACCGCGGTTTGCGTCCCAGACCCGGTGGCTTAAAATTCATGCCGGGCGCGTGTGCGTGCGTGCCCAAGATCCCGAGAGGAGAATGGAGGAGAAGGGATTGTGGCGTGACCATCCCCCCTGGGAGGTGATTTCTCGCTTTCTGTTTCTATGTCTCTCTGTGTCTGTCTGGCGCGGGCATGCGCCCTATAGTGAAAATCTCTCCAAAAAAAAAAAAAAAGAAAAAAGAAAATGGTTGGGGCCGGCAGGTGGCGTGGTAGTTAAAGGTGCTAGACTCCCACATGGCCAACCGTGGTTCAAGTCCTGGACCTGGCGGCTTGCTTTCTCACTTTCGTGCTCTCTGTCTCTGTCCCTCTGTGGTCAAATAACAATAAACAAACAAAGTTAAATTTTAAAAAAAGAAAATTGTTAAGAAGAGAGAGGCATGAAAGAAGCAACAGCTCTAAGCATCCTAGTGCCGAGGGTATAACATCCACAGAGTGCCTGGCCAACCATCAGAATGAGCAGTCTGTGTTTCGTGAGGCTGACTCACATGAGGTTCTGGGTTCAAGTTCAGAGACCTCCCTGGGGAAACGGGGCACATACATGCCCATGATCCAGGGCTAGCTGAGGCTGTGTGTGGATCACAGTGTCAGGACCCTGTCGTTTTCTCTCTCTCTGTCTCTCTGTCTCTCCCTCTCTGTCTCCCTTCCTCATGGGAGAAATAAATATAACTTAAAAGGGAAACAATGTTTAAAAATGAGTAGTCTTGCTACTGCCCATCCCTGTGGTCTGCTTAAATGTTCTTCATGAAACTGACCACTACCTGATCTTTCATATTATACAGCAGTCTGCTTGTTTTTGGATACCCTCACTACAATATATAGCTCTAAGGGGGTACTTTGTCCACTTGGTCCATGGTCTGACACCCAGTGCCTGACACCATGCGTGGCACACAGTAGGTGCTTAACAAATATTGGTGGAACGAATAGGCTGCAGGCACGCATTTGGCACCAAAACGGTTTTAACATTATGTGTTAACCATATAATAATAACATCGGCACCAAGGAGTGCATAATTCACAAACCTGTTGCTTCCCTTAATTCCTCCAATTTTCTTTTACTGAGCTGCCTCCTGAGTTTGGACCTGGCCCAGGAGACTGCTGGCCTCTGTAAGGAAGATAGCCCGAGATCCTGTTCTGACAGAGCTGCCTACACAGGAGCATGGCACTCGCTTACATACATTCTCTCTCTCTCTCTCCCTTGTCTGTCTGTCTGTCTGGGGCCTGGGAGATGATGAGGCTGCAAAATGACAGGGCTCAGCACTCATCATCAGAATGATTGAACACTCATCATCAGAATGATCGAGCATTCTGGGGCCAGGTTCACTGGGCCTCCCCAGCCCAGCAGAGCTTTGCTTGGAAGCCTGGAAGGGATATAAGGGCATGGGAGGCAGCACCTACAGCTTTGGGCCTGGAGTTAGACAGCCTGGGCTCACTTCCCAGCTAGTGCTCTTGGACGTCAACAAGGCTTGTTGACCTCATCTTCACTGTGGGTACAAGGACAACAGTAATCACTTCAAAGGGTTCCTACGCAAGATAGATGAGCTCATTCACAAGGAGGACCCAGTCCTATGCCCAGCAATTGGCTCAGAGCAGGTGAGATATGGCCATTACAGCAGCACAGCAGCACCTGGGCCCCCAGCAATACCACATCTCAGCAGTGTGACCCTGAGTGACTTAACCTTCTCCACAGACCTCAAATTCCCCTCCTCCAGTATCAGGATACTATGATCGCCAGGATCCGGTAAGGAATAAAGGGGATCAAGCATGTCGAAGACCTAGCACAGGGCCTGGTATATACTGGCTCCTTAATAAATGCGCACTAGTATCTTCTTTCTATTCATGCAACTTTTACAGAGCTAAGAGCCGCTGTGCAAATCTACTGAAGGCAGTTTGCCATATGCAAATAAACCTTCGTGACAGCGGTTCTTCAGCTGCAAGTTTCTGTCCCCACCCCCTTTGGGTTTTAGTTGCTCTAGCAAGCAGCTCCTCTGGCTCCTGCCCCTGGGTCTGGCCTAAGAAGCTTCTGTAGGTCAGTTCCTGGTGCAAGGCCAGCCTTCCTCTAGCCGAGCGAGCACACTCTGCAGCTCCATCTGCCTGTGCGCCCCCACATGCTGCAGTCTGACAGCAAGGCAGAGGACATGCAAATATGCCCTAAAAACGGCTTGTTATTTTCACGGCCGGGATGGTGCATGTTTGTGGGTGCCTGTGAGGACAGCGTGTCACTGTCAGGTACAGGGCATATGCTACCAATTTGGAGGTGGCTGTGAAATGTAAAAATACACAACCCAAATAAAGACCTTTTCCAAAAAAGAAAGCTCCTCTAGTGCCTTTGTGGAGGAGAGGCGGTAACTCAGCTCCCAGGTAAATCCCAGCCGGGCCCAGCCCTGTCCCCAGCACCTGGCGCTTCATCAACCCCACACAAGATCTCGGAGGCCCAATGAATCTGCTCCGCTATGGGCTCAACAGGTAACTAGACTGTGGAATGACCCCAAAACGGATGCTTTCAAGTCATGGGTCTGGGAAGGTGACTAGCAGAAGGTAAAAGATGAGAGTTCTCAGGGGCCAGCAGGTGGCATGGTGGTTAAGGCCCTGGACTGCTACATGGCCAATTGCAGTTTGAGTCCCAGACCCAGTGGCTTGGAAATCATACCCAGCGTATATGCACGGCATGCCCCAAATCCCAAGAGGTAAATAGAGGAGAAGGGATCGCGGCCTGGCCATCTCCCTCTCAGGGATGATTTTTCACTTCCCCTCTCTCTCGTCTTTCTCTGGCAAGCAATGTGCCCTATGGAAAAAACTTAAAAAAATAATAATAATAATCAAAAAAAGCAAAACCAACAGTGTACACAGAATAGTAGGGAACTGTAGGGGTTGGTGGCCCACTAGAGAGGGGAGAGGGAAGTGGCTCTCTCCTTTCCATTGAGCTATTGCCATGCTGGAACAAGACAGCGTGTGACCAGATCTTCCAATTTTTTTATCGAAATTTTCAAGTGAAATGTTGGTTCAAGTTTCTCTTAAAACATTGTGCAGGCCAAACAAAACACATCTGAGAGCCAGCTCCAGCCCGCAAACGGCGTTTGCCACCCCTGGGCAAGCCCCCAGCTGCCCTTCTTTGCAGTTTTTATGTACTCATGGGGAGAAGGGGAGCTGTGCAGTAGTTGCATAAGAGACCCTTCTCCCCTGCCAGTACCCAGATACTTTTCTGCATCCCAGTGCCCCTCTCTAAAACTTCCAGCTGTCCGAGCCCCGCCCTGGAGGATGAGCCTCCATCGAGGCACGTCTTGGCCCGTACAGACTCCCTGCAGGCTGAACCACCGCAGCACCTGATGCTCAGGAGCTTCCCAGGCCCTCACCAGCCCTGTCTCCTCTCCACCTCCCTCCGCTGTTTCTTTCTCCCTTCCAAGTGACAGCTACTGTCAGGCCTTTGAAGAAATGGCCCCCCTGGAGGCCTCACTGGAGCAAGTCTTGGGACAAATAGCTGGAAATACTCTCTGCACTGAGACTAAGCCAAGCTGGGCATTTCTGACTCTACTGGAGGCCTCACTGAAGCAAGTCTTGGGACAAATAGCTGGAAACACACTGCACCGAGACTAAGCCAAGCTGGGCATTTCTGACTCTTGCCAGTCCCCCGGGACAAGCTGCTCTCCTGCCAGGTGGACTCATAAGAGCTGCAGGTGGAAAGGACCTGAGAAGGGGGTGCCCCATGTGTGGGTCTTTTACAAACAGCATCTAAATGATGCTGGGTGACTGAGGCCATGCTCACTGCCTGCTTGAGAGGAGAGGCCACACTGTCCTTCTTCCAAGTTCCCTCGTGTCTCTCCAGACTGGAGCCAAGATGGGAGGAGGCTATGATGTGGCTCGTGATGATCATTTTTCAAGATAACCCAATTTCAGCATTCCTTTTTTAGAACATGTGGACATTACCGTGCTCTCCCCTGATCCTTTCAACACCCCAGCAAGACCGCCCAAATATTATTACTCATTACTGTTATTGTCACTCTTCTGCCCCTCAGAGAACCAGAGACAGGCTAAGCATCTGGCCCTGGTCCAGCGCTTCTCGAACTTTACTCTGTCCAGGAATCTCTAGGGGATCACGTTAAAATGGAGATTCTGCTTCAGAAAGTCTGCAGCAGACCTGGGATTCCACACTCCTAATAAGCATTGGTGATACCACAGCGATGCTTCTGGCCCCCAGGCCACACTTTGAACAGCAAGGCTAAGCTCATAGCCCAGGGCCAGAGCCAGGACTCCCACCCAGATCTCTACCCTTGGATTCTGCCTGCGGGGACAAGGCCAGCTCACCTCACTTTTCACGGGTTGGGGCCTCTTGCCCAGTTTCACCTCCAGGAAATGCAAGGGGGCGATCATGGCCCCAATGTTGCGGATGTCGGCGTATTTTAGCTCCTCTGTGGTCAGAGCCGAGCTGGGGAGTCCAGTCAGGGGGCCGAGCCCTGGCAGAGAGCCCGCGGTCACGGAAGGGTCCGGGATCTGCCCAGGCATCATAGCAGGAGGATCGGCAGGCCAGCCTGGAGGAGGCAGGACAAGAGCAGACAGGCACGGTCAGCTTGAGGGGTGAGAGGCTCCAGGAGGGGCTTAGCCCATGTCCTGCCAGGGCCCGTCTCTTCCTTTACCGATGTTCCTCTGAGTCCCTTCCCCTCCCAGTTGTTCTTCCTGCCTGTAAGTCCTTGTTATAGAGAAAAAGTGGATCAATTCATTCACACCCAGGTCATCCTTGGCACTGCCAGGAGTGCTTGTTTTTTTTTTTTTTGGAGAGGTTTTCGCTACAGGGCGCGTGCGCTCGCCAGACAGACAGAGACAGAGAGATAGAACGCGAGAAATCTCCCCCCAGGGGTGATGGCCACGCCACAATCCCTTCTCCTTTATTCTCCTCTCGGAATCTTGGGCACGCACGCACACGCGCCCGGCGTGAGTTTTAAGCCACCGGGTCCGGTATGCGAACAGCAGTCGACTACGTGGGAGTCCAGTGACATAGCCATTACGCTAACTGCTGGTTCCCTCTTTGTTTTTAAGGCAATACTTAATTCATGGTAGGGAGCATTTATTTAGCACTTGCAATGTGCTAGGCTCATGGTAATCCACCCCCCACCCCCACTCTGAGACCCGGTCAGAGATTATTACACAGAGGGAGAAGCTGAGGCTTAAAAAAATAACTCCCTCAAGGTTGTCCATGGTTAAACGGGCGGCCTGGGATTGAAATGGCAATGGATTGCCTCTGAAGTGAATGAACTATACTGGTAGACTCGCAAGCACCTCTGCACCTGTGTAAGAGGGAGTTATTTTAGGTCTGGCATGGATCCTCCCCTCCAATCACACATCCTATTCTGCATACTTGTTAAAACACCTTGAATATGAGACGAAGCTGAGTATGCGTCTGATAGCTAGGAGGAAGACATTCAGGCCAAGAAGATGCAACTAATTAGTATGTGCTTCCCCAGTGGAACCCAGTCCCAGAAAATTCCTCCATGGTCTCTTCATTCTCAGAGCAAAAGCATATTCAAGCTGTGCCATACTCAGACGTTTTACAAAGGAAGACAGATTCAGGCATAAAAGAAGGGTGTGAATTAGAAGGTCAACAGCAAGGGAATTCTCATTTTTTCCTTCACTTTACTGTGGGAAATTCTTGGGTGAGAAGCAGGTCAAGAAAGCTTGTCTGCCAAGAAAGCCAGATTCATCTAGGCCCTTAAGGCTCCTACGTGTATTAGAGAGCCCATTTTGGCCTCAAGGGCAAGCCACATTCCCCATCTGAATTTTGCTTTGGAAGGTGAAATTTGGTTCCCTATCCAAGTCCTGTGTCCATTTCTCAACAGGTTCTGCACTCTGAAGGAAAAAGCATGTGGGTAATCTGCATTCTCACACAATGACTTCCACTAGATATCACTCTGTTGGAAGAAAGGTACATGCAAATGTCCGGCCGCCCTGCCGTTTCACCCTCAGCACCGGCCGCATCTGTCCATAAAGCCATCCACACGGAGCTCCCTACCTTGCTCCCAAGTCTGTATTTGGTGCCCCCAGCTCTTTCATCTCCACTTGCTCTACCTCCCCCAGCTGGTCCCCTCAGCCCCGCCTTCCCACCCCACATCCTTTCTCCCCCTCCTTAGTACCCAGTGTCCCCTGGGCCACCTCGGAAAAGGATCTGAGACTCATTCACGTTGAATTATAGTCTTAGAGCTGCAGGAGGCCCTGTGCTCATCTAAACCACATCCTCATTTTGCACATGAGGAAATTGAAGCTCAGGAGGTTAAATGACTTACCCAAGGTCATACAGCTAGAGAGGGACAGACCATGGCTAGACTCCTGGTCCCTGAATTTTAGGATCAAAGCTTTCTTCTTCTACCTTTTGGTTTCCCCTGCTGGGGTCCAGAGGTGTTGATGTCTTTGGCAGAAGGAACGATCCTCTACTGATATTAGCCCATAATAGAGGGCTCATCCCTTGCACAGTGGACCCCCTGCCTTCCACAGAGATCCAAATTTAGGAAGTTCCCTAAGCAACCCTGTGACAGCCACCTCCCTAACCTCAGATGGACTGGAGCCCAGGGTCAGCAAGGGAGCCACCCCTCCCACCCTCTACAGCTGAGCCTGCAATGCAGTGAGTGCCTAGGGCTGCCACACCAGGAGGTCGCTCCAGGGCATTGTAGATACTTG